TTTTGTGACCATAGTTTTCTCCCATTACTTACTTAATTTGCAAGAAATGAGCATGGATCTTGCTCATCACCCAGAGGGAAAAGCAGCTGCTGCTGCTGGGATGAAAGGCTCCAGACATGCCTACGACGTGCAGTGTGTTTCTAAGGAAGACATGGCCATCATGCACTCCTGAGTTTGTGTTTCCATGAAAATATACACTTATCTGAGAAGGATTACAGGCCTCTTCCTCTAAGCTGCCCTGGGTTAGGCTCAGCTCTCCGCCAGGGAGCTCAGAGTCAGTAGGCTACAACACAAAACAGGTCAAATAAAACACCAGCAGCATACAGGACATATTAGGAAGAGGGATGTGGTCACCAGCCTAGGGAGTATGTAACAAAACCAACCAATAATTTCTCCATGCATTCACCAGAAATAAAGTGATCTGCCACAGGTCAAGACTCCAAAACCATGTATTGGCCAATTTGGTGAGACACCATCCCATCCAACCTGAGAACAAAGCCAAGCCAGAGCAGCAACAAATGTTCCTCAGCTGCCTTCCAAGATGAGAGCGAGAAGGCCAAGCACCTCGGGGGGGGGGTGTGACTCTGGTGGCTCCTCTTGGAGCCCTCCAGGTAAACTTTGCCCGATCACACCTCTGAAATGCCTGTGCACCAACTCATGCAGCATGGGGAATGAACGGGAAGGACCAGAGACTGGTGTGTGGGCACAGGGCCCGGACCTCACTGCAGTCACAGAGACACCCTGGGATGGCTTGCATGACTGGCATGCTGTCATAAAGGGCTACCTGCTTTTTCAGGAAGACAAACCCCTAAGGTGAGGTGGCAGAGTTCTGGTCTCATGTGAGAGCAACCGGAATGTATCAAGCTCGGCCTATGCAAGGATGAATAACGAACAGAGGGCTTATAGGTATGAATTAAGGAGCAGGCTAACATGGGTGACACTGTTGTGAGTGTTTACTACAGGCCACCTGATCAAGAAGAGGAAGTCAATGCCTTCTACAGACAGCTGAAAGCAGCTTCATGTTCACAGATATGCTGCCATTCAGTGAGACCCAGACAGGCTGCAGAGGAACCTGATGAAGTCCAACAAGGACAAGCAGAGAGTCCTGCACGTGGAGAGTAATAACCCCATGCACCAGCAGAGGTTAGGGGTTGATCTGCTGGAAATGAACTCCACAGACAAGGACCTGGGAGTTCTGGTGGACAAGTTAACCATGAACCAGCAGTTTGCTCTTGTGGCCAAGAAGGCCAATAGTAACCTGATGTGCATCAAGAAGAGTGTGGCCAGCAGGTCAAGTGAGGTTCTCCTCCCCCTCTACAACTACCCTAGTGAGGCCACTCACAGTACTGAAGTACTGTGTGCAGTTCTGGGCTCCCCAGTTCAGGAGAGACAGGGAACTACTGGATAGAGTCCAATGGAGGGCTATGAAGAGGATTAGGGGACTCTTATGAGCAAAGGCTGAGAGACCTGGGGCTCTTAAGCCTGGAGAAGAGAAGACTGAGAGGGGAACTTAGAAATGTCTGAAGGGCAGATGTCCAAGAAGATGGAGTCAGAGTCTTTTCAGTGATGTCCAATGACAGGACAAGGGGCAATGGCACAAACTGGAACACAGGAAGTTCCATCTGAACATGAGGACAAAACTTTGAGGTTGAGAGAGCACTAGAACAGGCTGCCCAGAGGTTGTGGAGCCTCTGTTTCTGAAGATACTCAAAATCGACCTGAACATGTTCCTGTGGAACCTGCTCTGAGTGAACCTACTTCGGCAGGGGGCTTGGACTGGATGACCTCTAGCCGTCCCTTCCAACCCCTACCATTCTGTAGGGTATGTCAGATGCAAAGAACACAAAGAACTTGCAAGAACTAATTACTGGAATACCTGCATACATGAATGGAGGGCAGAGACAGCAGAAGCATCCACATTAGTGTTCTAGTTCAGAGTAAAAGGGCATGCTTTTGAAGTAAGCTTTCAATTTACCTCCACATATGGTTTGAATAGTGTCATGGAGAAGCAGTGTCAAACCACAAACAAGTTTCCTAACAAATGAGCTGGGAGATGCATTCTCACAGCACCTCTGACACATTGCAGCCTCAGGTGAGCCTTCAGTCCATAGGAACAGACAATAACACACCTGAAGTGAAAGAAAAGCCCTAGCCTCAAGTGTGTGTAGCACCAACTATTTTACTGTTGAAGTGCTGGGGTTTAAACCCCCAGCCCTGAATGAAGGTTTGGGTATGTCCACAGCAAGGCAAGAAAGACCCTCCTGAAAGGTTTTCAACCAGAGTCTGGCCAGCCTTGGGTGGGAACTGATTAGGAGATCATCACCAGGTGCCCCCAACTTCCACATTAACTTGGAGGTGAGGCAAGAAGCCACCTCTGTAACAACTGACTCTGCTTGCAGTGGAGTTGGGAGGTCTGCCTACACAATGGATGTGCTGTGTGGGGATTCTGGCTATCAGAAGGGCTCCCTGTCTCTTCATGGCAAGCAGAGTTCTCAGGATGACAAGACCAGAACATGAAGCTGTCCAAGTCCCTACTATATAAGTGGACTCATGGCCTGGCTGTTACCATGGCCCAAGGCTTGGCTCCTCACTCAGCTCGCTCCTTTCTTCATGTCCACTGTGGTGGGTGAGTGCATTGACTTGCTCCTCCCTCCAGCTGTCCAGCACTTTGGACCTCTGGTGTGTGATGTGGCAGAGGGAGGAGTTTGGCTGCTGTTAATGATCATATCGTTCCATATCAGGCAAGTAGTCAGCAGAAGAACTGTAAAAAGACTTCTCTACAATATTTTCTAATGTAGAAATTGCCAGGAAAATCTGTTCCCATGTGTATCATTGGCATATCTCTTATCAGAAATATATCTATAGCCTTTGAACTGAGAGAAAGAAAGAAGATGACAAGAGGATGTGAAAGCCACAATCTTGAAGTCAAACTTGCACTCTACACACCTATGCCATCAGTGTCAAGGACAGGAAAAGGGTCATCTCCTACTTCAGTTAATGCAAGTCTACTTGTAAAAACTACTTATCCTTCAATCTTCCAAGGGAACACTCCTGCCAAGTACAGCTGCTGTGAATGGTTACAGCCTCCTCCCTAACACCAGAACCCAACAGACAGCTCATATAAAAGTGACTTAGAAAACACACAGCATTCTTGGACAGTTTACACTCATTTGATAAAACCCACCAGCTATATTAAACTTCTGACACCATCTGATTAGCAACTCCATGATGACTAGAGCTGTTTGATGGACAAATGGTGGTATACTGGCCATTCAGCCAGTTTTAACTCCTAAACAGCTTTTCCTAGAAGCATTCTTTAGAGATATGTCTAAGGGACACAGTTACTTCTCTTACTAGTCAATGCTTGGTTTGATCCCATAAATAGACCAAGCTCCACAAGAGGTTCCAGGTCAACACACCCGTTTTTTGTCTTTCATACTTTTCAGTGAACTGTAACACACAGAGAGGAAAAAAAACCCCAACACAGCAGCACATCCACTGACACAAAATCCCTCCGTAGAATATGCACAAGCTGTTAGTATGAGTGACTACGTCACCTAACTGGAGAAACCATTTTTAGTAGCAGCATTTTTGTAATTTTCCTCACCATCCCATAAATTTTTGGAGAGTTCACACATAAGGTGTCTTGAGTAAGAGACAGTAACTGTTGCTTACTCTTAACCCTATGCTTCAGGAGGAGTTCTAAGATGCCAAATCCTACAGAATTACAAAAGAAGAAACAAGACTACTTGAAGCTACTGAGTGCAGTCTATAGGAGTCCTCCTTTTGTATGCCATGCCTACAAGGCAAAGTCAGACTTGCAATTCATGCAAGTAAACTGGTTTAGTTGAAGCAACTACAAAGAACTAATTTCTAAAAGCAAACCCATTCATAGCCCAACTGCCAAACTGCAGCAGTCCTCAGCTCCTAAAAGGACAGCTATTCAAGACCAAATAGCTTTTTCACTTTGAACACAAAAGGCTGGTATTCAAGGCTGTGAGCAGCAGATCACAGCACAGGGCAAGTTTTCTCTTACCTCCAGGCTCAAAAGGATAATTCTGCATGAGTTCTACAATACGACCATACCATCAAACTGATGACATTCTTTGTTTACCTCCCTTCTGCTTGTTCCCAAAAATACTGTCTCCCACACAAAGAGCTACTGCCTTAAGATGGCATCACACTGAGAGGTCTGGTTTTAACTGTTGTACCCAAAATGTCACAAATAGACAACAGGAATTTTCATTAAACTCACTGACATGGCCTGCCCCATTTATCCTAGCCATACATAAAACCTGCTTTACAAAAAGCAATTTAAGCAATAAGCCTTTAAAAAAGGGGTAGGACAAGACAATGTCTTAGATTTAAGTCAAGTAAAAGGGCTGGAAAGCACATTGTGTCCTGAGTAAGGATGTTTCACAGCCCACATCCAGCTGGTCAGACATGGAGCTCCAGGACCGTATAAATAGTCTCTTTCCAGAAGAAGAAAAACTAAAATCCAACCAAACGACATTTTCATAGAAATAGAAAAGTCTGCCTAGGAAAATCTTTAGTGAAACAAATACACTGTTTCCAAAACACCTGTGCAAGAGATGACAAGACCTCTTTGCCATTGCATTCATGTAGACCTTGTGGTGATTTCTATGAGATAAAAACTTTAAAGCTTGGCAAAATATACCCACAGCTTAAGTGCTTCCATGAAAAATTTACACAAATATGTACATAAACTGATCAAGGCAACATTTATAAAAGCCCATATAAACTGACTGATCGTTACTGTACTGACCTTATTTAAATTCAGTTTTCCTCACTCATGAATCAGAAAGCAGCAGTATGAAAGGTCTCAGGTGTTTTGATTTTTATTGCAAGTCATTCACCCTTGAAATGCTTCACACGATTTTAACTGAGCCAAACTGAAGAATGTTTACATTAACATCACTTTCATTAGCTGTATCATAATATACAAATAGTCACAGTAGCTTCAAATATGCAGCTTCATTTTATCGTCGCCCAGCTCTACTCTTCAATGCTCTCAAGGTTTTCCTCATGATTGGTGCAATTTCTTCAGTAAAAATTAAGAAGAGGGACCAGTTAGGATTACAGCTTCAAATTACTTAAAATACTATTAGCGTACTACTAAGCACATATTAATAGACAGCAAGTTAAAACAGTTATCTTGAGAATTTTAGGAAATTCCATTTACTTTTGATCGGCTTCTTTCCATCTTGAGTCATTACACTTGAGCTAGAGCTTCCACTGTTGTTAACAGGGATCAGATTTGATGATGTATTACTTCTGTTTCTGCTTTCTGGAATCTTTGCTCTTTTAAAACAAGGAAATAAGAAAAAAGTTAGTGTTTGATATCAAGCAACTATTGCTCTGGGTAGTTTTCAAAAAAACATGGTCACAAACATTTAATACTTTATACACTAAAAAAAAATCAGAGTAATTCAGGTTAGAAGGGATCTCAGGTGGTTAAATAGTCCACTTCCATTCTTGCACAAATTTTCCATTTATTAGATTTGATGTATCTTATTTGACTTTAAAATTAAACAATCAGAAATTGTGACAGATTGAGAAATGTTTTGCAATACCATTGTGATCCACAATGCCCAGTGCTCTCGGTGTTTATTCTTCTCTTTGAACACAGCCAAACTGCTAAGCAGCTCTGACAGAAAATGAGGACAAATTTACACAAGCTTACTTTTTTTTTTTAAAAGCAGACACGTCTCCTAAAAGGCACAGTAACTAACCCTAGATGTTAGGTTGGAGTCCACAATCAGCAGTACTCAGACACCTTAGAGAGTGCTGAATCCTCCTGCTAAAGGCAGTTAAACCAGTGCAGCATTGAACAGTCAACGTGATGCCACCAATCTTGTCACCAAACAAAGCCACTTATGTCTGCTGCTAGTTCTCCACTGCTGCACACACAGGTGCAAACAGCAGCCAGCCAGTGATCTGCATGTCTGCCGTTCAGCTCCTGCACCACCAGCCTCTCCAGTGAGGATTTCAGCTGGGCAAATTCTACAACTTCCAAAATTGACAGGCTTTCAGAGGAAAAGCAGAGGCCTTCACGGTCAAAGCAATCAAGTTGAACTCATCATGCCTCAACAAACTCGTTTCTCACAAAGGCAATGCAACAACCCTCTCACAGCTTCCTTCACAGAACAGCAGTTCTTCCCAATTTATCATGCCTGAGAAAAAAACAGGCAGTGCCTGAGGGAACATCATTCCGCTGCTGGTGTGGAGATCACTGGAGCAGAAAGGACATTTCCACTACTGCACTTGAAGCACCTACACTGGAAGGCTGGTCTGTCACAACATGGACACAACCTTCCCCCACAGGGCAACTGAAAGTGAAAACCTAACCTGAGGTGCCTTAAGCCACTGTCTTGGTGAGGGACTATCTTTTCACTGAAAACAGCAACAGTATGGAAATAAGCTTCCAAATTTCATGAGCTAAAGTTGCAGCTACAAAAACACGTACAAGCTGTCACTCCTGACCCATACCACCTCCATCTTGAGCAGTAAGTTAAGGCTGCTCGACTAAGTGAAGCTCCTGACTGTCACAGAAAATACACTTTCCTGTGGTTCTGTAAGGTTCCCACCCCAGACAAACACAGGTCAGTTCAGTATCCGGTTCACATGCCTGAGACTGAACAATTACTCAGCACAGCTAGCAGCACTGCAGCATCAAAACAGAAACAGCTTCAAATGACTCTCTCACCATGTTCAGCCATGCTCAGTCAGTCCTGCATCCCAATTGCAACAGCTCATGTTTTATGCTCCATGTTCCCAGCTATCTGTCACTATCCACTCACATATTTATCAACCTGCATCACTGTTCCCTAATTGAGATTAATGAAAAAATGTTCTACCTAGTGCTCCCCCAAATGGGTAATTTCAAGAGAGCTACCTGAAGAGCAATTACGCCAACATGGGAATAACCACAGGCAATGGGGGCAAGGGAGTGCACCATGCTCACCAGCAGCTACAGCACAATGAGTGACCACAGCTTAAGATACCCACATTCAGGCAGTATGAATACTCTCCACTCTCCAGTTTTATGGTCCAACCGCTTGCACATGGATTCATCTAACCCATGGGGTGCTTCTGAATCAAACTGCTGACTTTTTCTTTCAGAAAGAACAGATATTTCAACAGCAAAAAACAGCAGTCTCCACATACTTGAGATGGGAAGAAGAGGTAGAACCAGAGCCACAGACAGTTCATCTCCCCATTGCAGCCATCCTCTTGGATACAAGAGAGTTCTTTAGGCTGGCAGAAATAGTAGGACAAGCCCCACATCTCAGCTTTGGTTCTCATGGCTGCTGAACTACTCTGAATTAAGATGTCACAAAGAAAATTTGGCTTTGTGCTGTACAAAGGAAACATTTGTAAAATCCCTGTTTTCAGTTCCCCCAGTGATTAGTGTTGGCTACTGCTACAGATTGACTGTTCCAGACACTCCTTTAAGCTGCCCAAGCAGAAACCCACCATCAAGAATATTAAAAGCTGCTGAGATTCACTCTGGTCAGCTATATAACTCCAAACAGCTGACTGAGATTTTACAAAAGCAGAACATGTGAAGCTACTAGGCAGGTTTATAAACACGAAACATCCACACTGGAATGTCCCCAGCATGTCAGGCAGCTTTAGTGTAATCTGGATAAAAACAACAGCATCCACTCACTCTGCAGCTGGGAGGGTGAATTACTGACTGGTGCTCTGGAGAAATGTGTGATGACAATGCAAACACAGCAGAGGAGCACACAAGACTTAAAAGGCAAATTAGTTTCTAGCCATTACCTGCTTAAAAAGTGAAAGCAAACAGAGAGCTATTGGTAACTTAAAAAATATTTTGCCAGCAAGCTTTGGTACTGACAAAAACATCTAAATTCAAATTAGAGGCATAGTACAGAACACTTAGTTACTTGCACTTTTCTATGAGACAAAGCTGGGTGACAAGTCCTGCTGTCCCGTGGATCTCTTGCTGTCGGCGAATATTCCTGGGTGGTTTTGCTGCACTGGTCATATAAGCCATTTTTACTTGTCTGCCTAATACAAAAGCAAGGAGCAGAGCATACATGACCCTTTTTGCCCTTTATGTTTAAAGCTCAGTTATTAATATGGTTGTGGCAATTTCTAGGCTTAAATTGGGATAAAAATAATTCAGAAAAGCAAAGTCTGGTACCAAAGTAATAACTGAACCATGGCAAATCACATACAGACTGCATACAATATTTCTTCATAAAAATTTTGGTGTAATTACATTTGCACTCTTTGTAGTGTTGCTTAGGATCCTCAGTGTAACCACTAAGGTAAAACTTATCTACAGCATGCTGCAAGTATCACACATTAACATCTTAACATCTTGTATTAATGCAGGTAATTACTTTTTAAGCAACTTGTAAATCAAAATGATCAAATCAACATGAACAGTAATCTTTCTTATGACTTCTCCTAGAGGTACAACGTTAGTATTCAGTAAAAACAAGTCACTAAACTGAATATATTAAGTGCCAAGAATAGGAGAAAAGATGGTTTTGCAAGTGGAAGAGCTAACCACAGGTTTTACCTTTTGGTTTCTCAGACTGAGCTGAAAGAATATTTTTTGTAAGCATCTTGAGTTTTATTTCTCTCTGATTAAACAGTCTCAAGTACATTTCACGCCAAGACTCACATTCCAGGAGGCTCTCATTTTTAAACTCTCTCTGGCAGTGTTTCTTCCACAAGTGGTCAGATTCTTCTGTAAATTTCTAATTTGAACACAAGATACTTTAAAGCAAGGAGTTAAAAATAACATTTTCAGGGTTACCTGTTAGCTGAGCCTAGAGACAAAGCCCAAACCCCCAGGTGGAGAAAGGTGCAGAGCAAATCCCACCAGACATGCTGTGACAGGTACCCCTACCAAGCAGCGTGGCAGTACCATGCAGAGATGCTGACGTCAGTCTAGAAATCACATCGTTTCAAATAGCAGAGCTCTATATTTGAGTTAATGACCTGTGCTTACAGGCTCGACTTGTGTTTCCAGCACAGGCTCAGGCCACACCAGCTCTCAATTTAAGGCATGCAGAGAAATGGCCAACTACAAAGTGCTATCCTCTCAGAACCTCCATGCCCAAATGTGTCATGGAGCCAAGGTCCTAACAATGTAGACAAGAAATCTACCATACACATGAAATCTCACCCCAAATACTTCCCAGCTGGTGTGCTTTGCAGCCTTGAGTGTTTGTAACATGAAAACAGTTGGTTCTGTTATGACTTTCCCAGCTATTGCAGTTGGAAATGCTGGGGGCTTTATGTTTTCCTTAACTTTTCTACCAACAACACCTGTCACTCAGTCTCCAGTAATAATTCCCCCAAGGGCTTTAAATCCTGACACTTGAGAAAGAAAGGCTTGATAATGACAGCTGAATTCAAACAAGTAAGTGCGTGAGAGAAAATCAGCATAACCCATGAGGAATCTTTATCAAGGAGGGGTGCAAGGAAGACAAACAGATGCCTCATGTCCTCTGTGGTTCTCCGAAATTAACAAGGCAGAATTTACCGGATTACATTCCTCTATTTGAAACAACTGCTCTGGTGTGCAACGTGTCAGCACAGGCTCAAGAATTTCAAAAGGCACACCTCCTACTTCATGTAGCACTACAAAAGAGGGCAATACTTTCAGCATCTCATTTATTTCACTCCATGGGTAACACCACTCACTGAACATTTGAAAAAAACAAGTTCATTTTAGCAACTGCTAACAGAACACATGTTTTGAAGTCAGGCTATGAAAATGTTTATAAATCAGCAGGTTCCATGCTGACTGGCAGCTATATTTGAGGACGGACAAATCATCTTTGAATAGCTATTACCCCTTCTTTACCAATGTGAATCATTCCCCTCTCTGCCTATACAAGGGAATGAATAATTTTGTAGTCACTCACTCTAATTTATGTAAAGAAACACCTTTGAGAGGAAACAAAGGAAATCAGCAGGCTTTTTTGCTTAGAATTTATGGGACATTTTAACTAAAAATGGAAATTTAAGAAGGCAAGCTTTTCAAACAAAAATACATTTTAGCACAACCATAAATCCATTTTTAAGTGCCTTTCAGCCTGCTCTGAGTCACCATTTGTAGGCAGGGACAGTACCTTTTATCAGGCCAGTTGCTGGCTTAGAGAAAAAAAAAATTAAAAAGAAAAATCAATCTGATACACTTTCAGGCACAGCGTGCTACAAATCCCTTAAAGTACTCACAATCAATATTATTTTGAAGCACACGGATGCACTGTTCATACAGTGTAAGCATCTTTGAAAGGCAGACTGGTTTAGAGCCAGAGTACACTTGCATTTTTGAGTTCAGCCTCCGTCCTGTGAATTGAACCACCTCACTGACCTCCTGGGGTGCTGCCACAACAGGTGCTGGGGAGGCTGCAGACAAAACATCAGGCAGGGCTTCCTTTACCTCCTGACATTTTACAATGCTTTAAACATTCATCTTTGAGACAAACAGCTGGCAGTCCACATGTATGTCCATTTTTCTTGAAATATGAAATTACTGCATTACAGTTTGGGGCCCTTACACATATTACATGTTATGGAAGTCCACTCATCATCATCTAGCAGTGAGACAGCATCTACACTGCCACTGAGCAGCACCAAGTCAAACAAGCCTTATGCTATTGAGCTCAGGACTACATGAGCTGTATTCACATCTGGATTACTCTGCTACCAGTTCACAGCACATTATTGATCTTCCCGAGTTGTCCTAGAGAAGCCAGAAGCTGCAAAAGCAGGGATATTTCAAGACCAGAGGTGATGTGAAATAACTGAAACCTCCCAAAAGCAGCTAGAGGAACCACTGAGCACTTTTTGTCATCTACCTACAAAGGTGCTAGCACACTCCTGTGCTGAAACTACACCTAGTGCTTCCTGTATTTGTTTTACCCAAGATAACATCTACTAAATACTTTGCCTTCTATAAGGTATAGGCAGCAGCAAAGCTAAATGGAGGTTGTAGAACTACCACCAGACCTATGCTACCTCTACATCTGTGGCAACCTTCTACTGCATTTCTTTATTCAGCAAGCCATAAGAGGGAAGCCTTTATAACTCTCTTCAGCTTCACCACACATGTCCATAGATGAGAAAGTGAAGATGAGGCATTTTTGTGCCATGGAGATATGAGCTAATATAGGCTATTAGAAAAGGAGATAAAGACATCTCTACACAGAGCTGTAAAAACCTGCACTACTTCACATTTATCAGCCTTGCATACTACTTACCTTTGAAGTCTGCAGCATATGGGGGAGATGAGATTGAGATGCCTGTCAGAAATTTAGGCAGTGGAGTATTAAGCAGATCTTGGAGGGACACCACCTTGGCCTGTGCAGAGTCAAGGAAACTTTGCTTCAATGTTACAAATTTGGGTTTACCAAAGCTTAAAATACCCTACAACAAAACCCCAACCCTTAAGCAAACCCCAGGGTTAACTGGGATAACTACAATTATTGCTTTTCTGCACTAAAATTTACTCCCTGGCTTACTCTTCAGCATACCCTTTCAAAATCTACTTACAAAGACTAGATCACAAAAGGACCTTAATGGGATATCTGTGATCAGCAGTGTGTAAGAGGAGATTAAGGAACAGAGCAGCAGTTCAGCCAACAGGCTTTCAGAGGAATCACTGTGAGGTTAGAAGCATGCAACAAACAAGACTGCAAGATGACAAAACCACAATTAAATGTTGAAAGTCAAACTAAATGCTATCCTGAAAGACAGGAAACAGCTTTATACCTGGTCCTATCAAGTCTCTTATATTGTGTTGGATAAGCCATTTAACCAAAAATTTTCACAGATAACCCCTTAAAAAAAAGGATTTAAAGGTGCAGCAGTCAGTAAGCACAGGTCCCCACAAATGCGTGGTATTATGTGTAACATGTAAGTTGAGTCTTAGGTGTCCTCCAATTGTAAGCCAAAATTATACATTTTTGTCTGCAGTTTATTTGCTTTTATCTTAACCATGCAGTGATTTACCTTTTTATTGGGGGTTTCTGATTGATCACCCTCACATTTTTTTACATCTTCCTCTCCCTCTTTTGCATGAGAAAATGTTGAACCGTTTGGAGGTAACAAGCTGTCCTTCTGTTTGCTGCATCTCTTCGGCTGCTCACCTGTAGAACAAGCCTTCCTGTTTCTTTTTTTCGTAACCAGATCATAAGTAAGATAAGATTCAAAAGACATAGTAGGGGGCTCAAACTCTTCATCACTAGATAATTCAGCTTTGCTTTTCATGACAAGTTTTTGTTTTGGTTTCTTCACATGCTTGGGATTTCTCTGTTTAGAAGCACCCTTGCTAGGTTTTTCCTTCTGGGATGACAAGTCTTTATCAGCTACAGAGGAATGTTGCTTTTCAGAAACTTCCTTGCGATCTTTGGAGATTCTCTCTTTGAAGTCACTTTCTTTAGCTTGAAGACTGGTACACTGGGAGGCACCCTTAGAATCACTGCTGTGACATTCATTATCACATTCTTTTTGAGACTCAGAATCTCTACTTTGGTGGGTCTTTTCACTACAAGTATGCTGCTTATTCAACTTTTTAGAAATGGAAGCACTACTGGAACTTTTGGAGGCCAGTACAGATGCTTTGGACTTCTCCAAAGGTTTAATCTCCTTGGAAGAAGATTTTGTCTCATCTTTTTCAGTATTTTGTTTTCTTCCTCTGTGACCACTGCAATGTTTAACACAGAAAAATATCACACCCCATGGTACATCTCATGCTAAATTCTTGAACAATGAATCTTTTTACCTATATTAGTAAAACTAAAAAGCATTAAATCATGCCAGGAGTCATAACTTTACAATATTCAGAATTGTGCTCTGCTGTGCTCTTATTCTTCCATTATCAGCACAGAATACCAGAGAGGCAGCTCTTGGGTCCAGCTAAAATAATGCAACAAGAATTCACAGCAAGACAAGTGGGGAGTAGGGACATAACCAAGAGCAGAAAAACACAACTGACAGTACTATTTGCTTATAACATGTTGGATACCTGTTTTTGCACAAGTTTCTTTGCATGCTTTATAACACAGAGATAGTGCTTGAAAGAACTAAGAGACAGAATTTATGCTACACTCTGTAGGTGCTGCCTATTACAATGGTTCAGCCTCTATGCTTGGCTCATCCTGGGTTCCAGTATGTCACTCTACCATTGTCTGAGCAACTTCAGATTTAAAAGGCACTATTTACTTAATCTAAACCTTTGGCTTTCTCAGCTCAACTGCCTCACATTGTTGGAGGTCTGAAAAACACCAGTGTGGCCATGGCAGTGGTGGCTGCTCTATTCCAAGAAGAAATCACATCTCTTCAGTGAGACTTCAACATTGGAAGCCCCTCTCAGTTCACAAGAATATTAAAGCAAAGTTCTCTGTAAATCCATATCACTGGAGAGCTGCCTCATTTAACCACCACCTCTGGGAACAACTACCAAACTTCCCACTTCCCTGAAGAACTGCAGAGCAGTGCCCATTATTTGCTTAGTCCTGCTTGCATCAGCTGGGACGCAAGAAATAACGCCAGTCAAAAAAAGCCACTGAAAGTCTGAGTGCTGCCTGATGAACTAACACTGGTTGCCTCAATTTGTTTTCTGATATTTTATAAACGAAAGAATCATTTTTTCTGTTCAATTCATGCATTTGTCCTAATGCATATTTGTCATTCCAAACACTTTTCTAAGCTTTCCAAGCTGTATTTTATCAAGTTACACTACAGTATAATGAACTTTTAGGAAAAATCCTGTTCACACCTACCTTTTATTTTCTGGAGGAATAAGTTTTTTCCATTGTTTCACCAGGGTTTTAGCTACATTCCCAGCAGTGGCATGTTTCCTAAAGCTGTTAACTGCTTTGCCTATGCCAGTTTCCTGTTGAAGACAGTGCAAGAGAGACTGGCAGAATAAATCACAACTAACACGCCAAATGAAACCTCTACAGCTACTGCAAAGAATATCAGTTTAGTAGTCAGAGCAATCTCATGGCAGCTAAAGAAACAAATGCATTCATACTGCAAACAGAACTGAAGGGAAGGTAAGAATTCACTAGGTTAGCAGCAACCTGTTAATGCTCTAACAAGCAAAACGATCGTCCTGCAAAGTCTGAGCAAGAGCTATACACCTGCTAGTCCCACATAATCAGCTCACACATTAAAAAGAACTTCCTTAAATTCATTTGAAGGATATTTAACTTAAATAATTTGAGCAATACTGGTTGGGTACGTCAGTATACTGCAAATAGATGCAAGAAATTTGCTGTGATTATTTCCTAAGCTACTTATGTTCTTCAAATGTATTAAAAATAGGTGGAGTCCTTAGCTGTAAGACACTTCTTCTATCTGACCTGACAACTTCCATCAAAGTCTGTCACATTATAAAACATGCAAGTTTGCTGGGAATATGAGTTGTCTCCAGAAGTCCTTTGCCATCCTAAACAACTGCAATATAGGATTATTTTGTTTTCTAGCAAAAATACATGAATATTGCTGTATTCCAGAAGTCTACCTATGTTTTAGGCAGGCAAATCCCTTTGCCAGCCAAATATCCTAATTACTATATTTTTCTGTTTCTCTTCAACACTCTCTCACAAAAATCACATTTTTTTTCTTCCCAAAATACAGACACATTGCTCATAATAACTAGAGGCTTCCCAGACCAGTTAAGAATTTATAATATGAAATTTTATGATGCACCTCAGATAGGGATACAAGTCACAAGAATCCTTACTTGGGAAGCCTGCTCTTTAAATGCAAGAAACCTAAATTGAGCTTGTAATAAAAGACAGGATATTTAGATAATTGACCTAAAGAATGGTTCACTCACATTTACTGTGTCTTAAGCATTGACTAGAAAGCAGTTTTAGAGGAAGAAGAAACCAACTCTGAGTAGTAAAGTGTTCTCTGTATGGTCAGACTCCTGCTCAGCACTATCACTGTCAGCATAATCCTGTGTTAGTTGTCAAATTGGATGCCCAACATCCAGCTGGAAAAGGCTCCATGGTTCCAGCACAGAGCTCTAAATGAATCAGGGACAAAATTACAAAATGCAGCATGTTCACTGCTTCTGCGATTGCAGCCTGCTACATTTACACAATAATTCACTATGGAAGAATTTTTAACGTATTACTGGTCACTTACCACTAGAATATCCCATGATATATCCAAATCCTGCAGTTCCTTGAGTGTTTTTTCAATCTGGAATGAAACATTGGATTATTTTTTTAAAAACAAATATTCGCTAGTTCTGTTTTGTTTTTCTCATCCTCATTCACATGCTTCATCAAAAAGTACTCAATACTTTTAAGAGGAACATACAGTAACTCCAGAAAAACTTAAGTACTCCTTTGCTGCCCACCAGGTCTGTGCTGCGAACCAGTACAGTTCTGCCAACCTCCCAGTTTCAGTTACACCAGGTAATCTAGTAGGTATGAATTTACCACCACAGAGCTTACATCAAACATCAATAATACAATAGTACAGCCTACATATATGCATGCCCTGGGAGCCCAGGACCAGAGGTAACAAATCAACTCTCTCCCAAAAAGTTCAGCTAACTACAAAATGGCAGAATACCTATAAGCAAAAAAATGTTTCCTGAACAAAATTTCAGAACCAGTGCAAAAGCCATAAAGTTCTGCTTATCTCTTGCTTAAATGGAATATAATCCCTGAGCCAGCAAGTTGTGCTAAGAATATACACAATGAAGTTAAAAAAAAACATTTTGTATCTCAAGAGAAGTACTCTTCTTTCTGAGAACAATACAAGCAGAATATTTAATTTTTTCTAGGTGCTTCATAGGTATAGGCTAGATATTTCTTGAGCTGAAGAGTTTTTCTAAATAATCCCATCAGGAAAAAAAGGAATTCCAAAGATGGTCAAGTAGAAAAAAAACTGCTCGCAATATTAATCACAAGCATTAGAAACTATATTATCAGTGTCAGGTTAGTTTTGTTTATATAAATATCCTCATTCATTTAACTTATTTTGCAATGAACAAGAAAGCAACCCATTGCTTCCAGGTTATACTGTGCTATATAGAATGACTAGATACTCAAGCAGTGCAAACCACTGGGAATAACCCCCCCAGCCAGAGACAAACCTAGGTATGGAAGAAACTTTTAATCAGAAAAGACATTTTCATCACACAACAATGATAATGGGGAGTCTGAGTGTTTCTTCTTGATGGGTTTTAGACTAAGTTCATTTATAAAGCTGAGTTCATTTCAGAAGGAGTTCAGGAAGCAGGCAATTACTATTCAAAGAACTTCAAACCAACAGGCTAAATTACAAAAGTACCTAGCTGACAAGCGTGTCCAAAGGCAGTCAACACATTTTAATGAAAGACAAAACTTTCAAAGTTTTCTAAACCAAAGAACACACTGTTCATTTTGTTTTCTTGAAATGTGTATCACATTCAGCAAATTAAGACAAACACGAGGGTTCCGTTAGAAGAAGACAGAAAGCATTGATCAAACAGTCTGGCAAGCCCCTCAGGAGAAGCGATCCAGATCTCTATAAGGTAGGGTGATGTTGGCAGCCATGTACACCCAGGACTACCAAAGGAGAGGGAGCGCCATCTGCCTCGTACTGTAGCCAGGCACATCCAGCCTGCCCATAGGAACCACCCATCTCCAAGCCCTTGGCACTCAGAACCAAACTTAGAGACACAATCAGGAAAAAAGCAAATTTAATTTGTGGCAATTGGTAACAGCAGAGAAAACTTGTACTTATCTTGTTTGGTAGAGAGTTACGATTTTTTTCAAAGGCTGGTAGGGGCTTTTTAACGCACAAATATCAAGCTCAAATATCTGTCAGACTTTGGTGAAGGCCACAAAATGGTATATTGTGAAGCATAGGACATGAAGAAGCCTGCCATGGAAACTAAAGCCTGTTAGCAACACAGACTTTGGTGTCATGGTATTTATATGGTGCACCATTACAATTATCACATAAAATAAGGAAAAAAGAGAGAAAGTAATTTCTCTGAAATCTGTTCTGAGCAGGCCTTCAAAACCAAAGAACATTGACTGTTGAGTTGCCGTGCTCTAACCACATCTTTTATCACAGCATTTGTAGCCCATCTAGCTCTTCCTATCTCACCAAACTGTACCCAGTCAGTTTTTCCCCCCAAGACTTTCCATATACACACAATACATATGTAACCCTCCATGGCTTTTCAGGCTATTTTACCTTGCATACCACTGTCAGCTATACTCTCATGGAAAAACTCTGACTTCCTTCTAGAAAAATTATGAAGAATATAGAAGCTACCTCTATATACAATTCCTGAGCTATTCTACATAATTCTTACTACTGATTTCTAAAGAATGATCCAAAGCCTTCAGAAGTGTTGTTTTTCCACTAAATGACATTCCAAGCTAGTCAAAGACACAGGTCTTCATGCAACATGGACAACAGAAGCAGAGCCTTAAGGACAAACTGAGAGCTCTCACATACTGGTGTGAGACAAAAGCAAAGGTGACAACAGGAACAAGAGCAAGCTAAGATGAAAGGGAGGAGGGAAAGCAGGTGGGCATTTGGAAAGCAGAGGGCAATGGTAGTGAGCAATCAGTAAGAAACATGTGAGCCAACAAAATTTTCAAGTCAAAAATGAAGGCAAAGTGATGATAACAGATTTCAGGTGCACCAAGTTTGGTCTCTTCTCACTGCAGTGTTGCTCCACCATTCCTTACACAAGCATTGTACAGTCTCCTCATTTCTTCTATCAAAGCCTGAATGCTCAGGAAGGATGGGACCCACAACAGGTCCCCAGGCCACATGTGGTCAAGAGATTGACTCAACATTTCACCACAGTAACTCTTTCTTGCTTTCTCTCCCTCCCTCCTTGCTCACTACTTGCACTACTCTCTCAGAGGGATCCCTATGATTACTTAACTCATTCTCTTCTATGTGAAGAGAACATAGCAGCCTGTGAAATTTCACCAAGTCCGTAACTTCTGGCTGAGCTAGACACCTCATCTGAAAGAGCATTAGAAAACCCCAACACATTCCCAAGCAAGTCATTCCTATGCCCTCAGATAACAAGCACAAAAAACAAACCAAAAGAACCCCCAAAAAAATCAAACAAACAACTGCTGCCTAAAAAAAATTGTCCGGTTTTGTTTTCGGATATTGAATCTAATGATCTCTTTCTCCTAAAGTAATCTCTTTTCAAACACCTTACACAACACAAATGTAAACACCAACCACACACTACCTTGGTTCTTTAATTTCAGTAAATGATGCTAGCCAGAGCTGTAGCCATTCTACAGCTGTATTGTCTTTCCAGCTTGGCAGTGTTGTTTTTAAAAACAGTTTCCAGAAGAAGACATAATATTCCTATAATTCCCCCTCTAATACTATACAGTAGTAATAACATAGCACTGCTAAACTACCCAAAGTCAGCATTTATTCCATAAGCCACTGCATTATACTGCATGTTCATGCTCAACTGGTAATATATCAGAGCTCCAAATCATTTTTCAGAGTCAATGCTTTCCAAAATAAAGTCTCCTGTCCCGAGTGACCTATATTAATAGCTCCTAGCTGTGACTTTCCACTGAGCCATGTTAAAATGTGTTTTGCTCAAATGAATGTAGCCTAGCACATGATCAAAGTTGGTTTCTAGAAGAGTCTCTCTTCATTTGACACTAAATACTTTAGTATTCCCTACAACACTTGCTGTCTTCTGAATTAAGAAAGATTTGAATAGCATCATGTCAAGAACAGATGAATAATCACCCCCTACCCCACAAAAAACCCACCTCAAACCCACAGCCAAAACCACAAATAAACACTGTTTTCTGATGAGGTCTGGCACTAATTTTTGGTGAGTGCAACTGAAAACCATTTCACGTATTCCATCAAATCCATAACACTGTTGCTGTTGTAACCAGCATCACACAGAAGCAAGTCAAATGCCTTAAGAGACTTGCATATATTTGTGACAGTGTCAGCTGAATACAATTTGAGATAAACTGGGCAGTACACAGCTATGCAAAGTCTCACTGAATAGCATAGATCATGGCACTATCCTTTAATTTTGCATCAGTTACATCTTAGATGCAACATCACACAGCTGCATAATACATTCCTTCATGATCAATGCCAATGAAGACCATTCTATTTACTTGTATAAACCATAGCAGAATACTTTTTCCCCTGTTCTGCTGAACTTCCCTAGTACCTCAACCATCATTCAACACCTAAATCATTAGCTCTGTTCATTCTTTAATCAACTCTCTGAAAACTCACTGAGGTAGCTATCAAACCTCACACATTAAGAAGCTTTTGACATGAACAAATGTTCTGCAGCTTCCCTGGTTACTATCAGATCAAAAAGCATTTACAGTTACTGAAGAGTGCCAAGACAAATATTATTCTCAAGTATGGAACAGAAACATCGACAACTTCAGTGCTTACTTATGTACACATATGTATTACTGATTTGTTATTCTCCCCACACACACCTAAAACTTTCCTCTCTGCCTTTAAACATAATAACCACATATTTTCTATGACTAGACTCACCATTTATTAGCAATGCATTTCATGACTGCAAATTTACGGTTATCAGTTTCTCCTTTTCCCTACCACTCCTTAGCCCCTGTTATCTGTAACTTTCTATTTCACTAGACCGAGTTTTACCAGCAACAGCAGAAGTGCTGCAGCACCACCCTTAGTCCCGTTTTTATGCAGCACCTGATTGGAGTCACACCACAAAAACTGCGTGATTAACAGAGCCAAACTTGCTACGGCTGCTCACATTTTTTCTTTCAAAACACTTGAATGTGTTTTGAAACTTATTGGTTTGGGATCACTTAAATTAATCGTCTCTACAATTGTTTCCGTCTTTTCAAT